CAGGGTAGCAAAATACCTATGCGTCACGTAGGAACGTTAACAGGAGAATCTTTCTTGTTCTCCAGAGATACTAAATCGAGTGGCGAGTCTTGAAAGTTGGCAACGGTATTTTTCCTGTATTTAAATGTGTGTAAAACAATCGATTCTTGTAGAAACTAAATGTGCAATTTAAAATACCCCACGTGTACATCCGACCTGACTTTACAGCAGGGACAAAAAAAACAATGAAACTTCTAAAAAACGGAAGGAAGCTATGCGTTGTGATTTGGGGAAATAGCTGTCTTCGCTGAAAAAAAAGAATCTTAAATTTGTCGCTGAGAAGTATTTTTTCTTAAATTAAGAATGTTGTTGCTCAATATAAACTATTTTTTTGCTTAACCCAAGCTTTATTTTCCTTGTATCAAGAAGAATTCAGCATAAATCAAGATAAAAAAAATTCTTGGCGGCATATTCAAGAATCATCATGCTTGAGCCAAGCACATTTTTTTTTCAGTGTTGTCGTAGTTTACATCATTCAGTCGGCCTTAAAAATTTTTACGATCAAATGGTGGTCTGTCGAAGTTGAGAACGATAAAAAGCGATTCTGTGATCAACGTTACTATCTCAGCAATTTTGAAGCACAAGTTCCTATTCCCAAGGAAATAAAATGGAGCTTCTACTTGTCGAATGTAGCAAGAGTCAAAAACAATACGGCGATTTTAAAACGACGATGAGTATCTTGCGTTCGCGGAATCACTTCATTAATTTTCTAATAATTGACCCAAATTCTCGCCTTTGCCTCGTCCTCTTTGCATTTTTTGCGTGTAACTTATGTTTTCTGGCAACGCATGATATTTTTCGGTCAATAAGGGTCAACTATCTGAGCAGTGCTCAGTGCTGCGGCCCCTCTCCCATACTTTAATTGGTTGTATAGGAGTGATGGCCATAAGAAACAAGAGGTCAATAAGTCCAGTTGGGACAGCCCCAGTCATAGACAACATATTTTAGAGGCCTCGCGCTGGCTATCCGGCCAATTTAAATGGGCGATAGAAAAGTCATCCTTGAAAATTCAACGATTTCGTGTGGGCGACAACACTCATCTTCGTCAAATGGTGGTTGATGGATGTCTCGTTGAATAATTTGCTCGATGAGGATTTCAAACTTTAAAAGCCTGGTCGTTGTTCTGTCATCTGGTTTCCTTCTCTCGAATCATCTCGAGTTTTTTTTAAGAAACTTTTCGCAGGAATCTGTTCTGTATCTATTCCTGAAAATCAGAATAATTGACAATGGACCACTAGACAAGGTACGAATTTAAGCAATCTGATACATGTTTCTTAACCAGAATTTCACGTAGAACACGATTCACACTACGAAAATTACCGAAATCAACTTCTAACGAAGATATTAACGTTTTTATTTCGCACTGATTACGAGGAATTTGAACTGCCCGCTCACAAGAAACTCAAAGCTCTACGTGAGTCAAATCGCGCACTACAACGGTTTCAGCAAGCTTCTCAATAGAGCAATGTTCATTTACCACCATGTGTTGTTCCAACTATAAGCAATTTGCTATAGCTGAGCCAAAGTGTCAAGATTGAGGTTGCCAGATTTTTATAACGCAGAGACTGTCACGATAAACGTTAAGCGCGATGTGTATCACGTAGAGCATTGAGTTTTCATGAGCGGGTGGTTTGAATTCACGCATCAAGAATTATTGAATACCTTCGTAAGGAGTTGATTTCGGTAATTTTCGTTGTGCGCATCGTGTTCTACGTGAAATTTTGGTTAAGGAGCATGTATCAGAATGCTGAAATTCGTACCTTGTCTAATGGTCCATTACCCCGAGGCCTAGGCGTATTAATGATTTTAAAAGCACTCTGGTCCGGAATAAGTATTACCTCTTTCTATGGTACCTGTTGATAGATGGTTAATTACTATGAAACTACACCCCTTGGGCGCTACACGGCCCATCCCCAGTGGGCGCTTCGCGCGTTTTAGGGCCCTCCATGCATTACTTTAAATAAAGTGGGCTCATCTAAGGACTGACTCTCATCGTCAACCGCAAAAATTATGGAAATTGGCCCCGTAGATCTTCATAAGGAACTGTGGCAAAATCTGAAAATTTTTGTCTTTTAAATGAGAATAAACAACTTTATCACGTCATGTAAAAAAATAAAGGTCATATTTCCAAAGTTTGAATAGACCGGGCTAATGTAGGGACTCGTCAGTGGCCGCAAAAAGCATAGAAATCGGCCCGGTAAAATGGTAGATCGAACGAGGTGTGACGAAAAATGAAAATTTATAGGTGGTCAAAGAGTTTATAGTAATGACTTCTATGATAACAGGGAGTTTTTGTTATTTTAGCCAGGTGATCAAAAAAAATTTGACAGTTTTTCCCTCTGAGGTCTTTTTATGCACTCTTATTACTGTCAAACTATAAAAATGTCTCTCAGTTTCCCACTTCGCCTACCTTCCTTACTTATTCTGAATAAGTATCACTTTGGAAACTTACCACTTTAAAAACGTATTTTTGAGATTCCGATCATCCGGTACGCACTTTCAAAAAATGATTCTGAATAACGGATCTCTAGCTGCTCAGAGATGACCATTATCTGCGATAGGACGCTACGCTAACATTTTCCTGAATCTAACGTGTATTTATGCTGATCGTGGAAGTCTTTTCATTCATACAAACGTCTTCTTGAACGTCATTGTCTATTTCTCTCGCAAAAATTCCGCCATCCTCAGGGAAATGGAAGTCTCGGATTTTGATGAGCAGGGTCTTTTTCTCGATATCTTCGTGTTGGGTAACTCATGCGTTTGTATTTTTAACGCGTATTACCTCTCTTCCCAACGTTTGACTTGTTGAGTACATATTGAATAAGGGCACGTAGTACTTTTGAATCCTTACATTCCAGTCATAGGAACAGTGAAAAGTTAATCATCGCGTACCTCTATGAAGAACTTCCATAAATTCGCAATTCAGTAATTAATAAAGTGGTTTCGACGGTAAAACTACCTTACACCACGTCTCTCGGTTTGCGCCATCGCAGTCTTCTTCCTAACATTCTTTAGTCTTTGATTGGAAAACTTCTGAACGGAAATTTTTGAAAACTCCTGTGAATTTTCCTCTATATGCGGAGGAAACTCTGGGAAAACTTCAAGGAATGATATTGATTTGTTCTCCTCGAAAAAATAAAATGGGAACGGAAATTTTTAAACACCGCAAACGAGATGCATGGTCCAGTGGTTTCACCATAGATTTGCTTTGTACAAAGAATTGTCGGGGACAAAAATTTACGATCCGTCTTGTAAAAGCCTATGTGAGGATCCACTGTTGAAATTTGAAAAACGTTTACTACCTCAGGCCGACTCAGGCGTGACAAACGACGTCATTTTTTAATGCATGTCATTAGTGTATCATTTCCTTAAAAATTCAAAGGATGTTCCTCCGTCTAGGGCCGGATTTAGGGGATGGCCGCATGGACCACGGCCCATGGCGGCAAATTATACACATTTTTTCAAATGGAGGTATAAAAAAAATCGGATGCAGAAAAAAAATACAAACGAGAGAAGGCGACAAAATCTCTCATTTCCTGATAGTATAGTAATTTCTAATTTTGTCGTCTTTTGGTGATACAAGAGACAGCACCTTTAATTAGTCGAGTTAAGAGAGAAATCAAACACGCAATTTGGCCTGGAACGGCGCAGCGCAGAGAGCACTGACAAAGGACTTGAGATGAAAAGGAAAAGCCCTCGGCGCAGCGGTCGGCATGTAACACATATTAGCGCCTACACAACTGCATGAATACTTCACGCATTGTGTCAAACACAGTGCGGTCATCAGCTGACGGCGTGAAACGCATAGCGCCTACAAGACTGCACGAATACTTCATGCATTGCATCGAACGCAACAGTGCGATCAGCAGCGGTCGACGTGAAACGCATAGCGCCTACAAGACAGTGGGAATACATCATGCATTGCGCCAAACACACAGTGCGGTCAGCGCGATACGGCGCTGCGGCGGCGGAAGTTAAGATCATTAAACCGCATTTATGTTTGTTCTTTTATAATTTTTTCGTTTATTTCATATAAATAGAAGGCCTTGTCCACACAGAGACAGGTTTACGGAACTTACTTTCGCGCGAAGTTTCGTGAATTTTTGGTAGTAGTGTTGACAGGGCTTTCGCAAAAAAGGTGTCCAACACGAGTAAACGCGTCTTTTGCACCCCTCCTCTGTTCGTTTTTATTGATGTTTTAAAACGAATGAGCAGGGGGCGGCAAAATACAGGCGGCCCATAGGCGGCAAGTAGGTAAACCCGGCCCTGCCTCCGTCCGGCCATAAAAAATCTTCAGAAGCCAGGGGATTTTTTCCTTGTGCCTAAAAATCTCTGCGTGCATTTAATATGACGTGTCAACTTAAGACATATTAGACACATATCGACGGTGCAAGTCGGCAATCACATAACTCGTTTGCGGTGTCTGAAAATCTCCGCAACTATGTTATTTTTTTAAAGGAGAAAAAATGGACATTATTCCTTGAAGTTTTTGCAGAATTTTCCTCGCACATAGAAGAAAAATCACGGAAGTTTTAAAGAATTACCGTTGAGTAGTTTTCCGTTTAAAAAATAAAGTATGACAGGAAGTCTGCGACGTCGCAAATCGAGTTATGTGATTGCCGACTTTCACCGTCGATATGTAAACCTATATCCATCGTTCTATATTTGAGGGGCGTGGAAAATAAGCGCGCGTACCTAAGTGCAGTTTTTGCTATTTCAAGAAATTCGTGCTTAAAGTTTCAAAATCACATGGAGCCCTGGGGCGGAAAAAGTTCAAACTCACTTTTTTATTCTCAAAAATTGGAATTTGGGAGTGAATTCTTCGCTAGTTTTAGTAGAAATCATAATTATTTCGATTTCCTCAAAAATTACACTTATATGCACCTTGTCCTCCAAGCCCCTCATTCCAAACCTAGAACAATGCAATATTTTTAACTGAGCTGTGGTTTTCCTCTTTGCAGAGATGCAGATACGTGGAGTGAAGAGGCGACCGACTGCTTTGAAGCCCTTACCTACGCTTGCCAATGGAAACCTCTCATGGCCCGCGTCAACTGTTACACAGAGCCGAGTGAGAAAATGACCAATGCAATGCCTATGCCTTGCATTGATTTGGTTGATACCTCCAGCAAAGATGAAGTAAGTTTGTTTTTACCTCTACGAAGGTATGATTTTTTATATGTATCAAAGCTGCTTTTATAGTGCTCTCCAAGTAGCAGTGATCGCGATAAACAGCGATTTTATCGGTTGGTTATCGCGATTATATCGGTGGCAATATATCGAGATATTATCACATTAAAAATCGCGATGTATGGCGATTAAATTGCTACACATTGCAATTTTTGGTTCGATAAAATCGTGATCAATTTTTGTCGATAAAATCAAGATTAAATCGCCATTTATCGCGATTTTATCCCGATAAGATCGAGGATAATCGCTCAGATGTTGATAATAATCCTAGCGATTTTATCGGCGATAAAATCGCAAAATATGGCGATTTTTCCATTGAAAAATGCAACTCAGGTCTCTGGCACTCTGCGACACCTAGTCGCCAAAGTCCCCTGTCCTCCCTAAGCCCTTCAGGAAATTGGTTCTCCCTCATTTTTTCTAACAGTCCAGGAATTCTACAGAAGTTAAGAGGAAGAATTAATAACAAGCTGATTTTTGGCATAGTGAGTCCTTATGACCCCATGAGTCCCCCAAAAAAGTCTCCATCGATAGCGTGACGACCTTGGGTTTCTTGGGAGGGGGGGACAAGGGGGCCCAAAATCGGTTTTCCGGTCATAATATGAGAACAGTTGCTCGTATCACTACCTATAGCACCATTTTCTGAATCCTCCTGTTTTGGAGGGATATGACACATTATCAATTTTCCATAGCCTCCCGATGCCCCCCAAAATCGGGAGGTGCCCTCCTCACATGTGTCTGTACATTTGTGTGCCTCTGTCTACAAGAGCTCCTCAAAAAAACAGAGCAACAGATTTTTAAACATTCCATTGGGACCATTTCTCTCCCTCTCTTTGTAATTAAAGCTCGCATGTAAGGAGTCCAATTTTATTTTACTCTCCATCCCTCTAGTACCGCTCATTCTATTTTAGATTCCAATCGGGGCCAAAAACAGCACAAAAACTACAGCCCTAACTGTTCAGGTATGTAAAGCGAAAATTATTGCCACAAAGAAATGTGCTCCACAACTTTATTTGCCCTCTATCCAGAGTGTGATGTAATGTATTAATGGTCCTGTAGAATATATGTATCTTCTCGGCTTGCAGGTTTTCTCTCTAATAAAACTGACAGACTTTACCAAATTTCCATTATTCTTATGTTTCAGGATATACGCGTAGGTCTAGAACTAATTAAACAAGGTTTTGCTGTTCGAGTAAGACCGGAACCTAGTGATAACCCAGAGATTCCTGTGAATTCTAGTTCCTCTTTACCTAATAGCAATGATATTAGTAGAAATTCAACGAATCGTCAATCCCGAGGTCCTGCCCCCCAAGAGCGTCCAGTCATCAAAGCTTGCCCAGCAGGCTATGAGGATGAACTTGCGGAAGACGAAGATGACTTCGACTTCTACTAGCAAATCTCTTGCAAACTCCTTAAAATTAGTGATGTTCTAATGGATTACTGTACGACACCAGACTTATTGATTTATTAAATTTTTAGTAAAACAAATTTGCAGCAGTAGCTGAAATTCAACATCCTTCTGGATCTTCAGGAAGTATGCTCATCCATTTACATTATATCATTTCGCTCACTCATTCCATTCAGTAAACAGGGTCTCCTTTCTCAAGGGTCTCCATGTAGGCTCTAATCATGATAATACATTGAAGGCATAAGTCACCAAGCAAATCTTCAGTGCAACATTTCAAAATCTCCAATTGTGTTTTAACTTTTAAAAGAAAAAACCAAAATATATTTCAACAAGTGAAGATTATTTCTGGAAAATTTTGTGAGAAACTGGTCGTAAAAAAAAAACAAATAAAATAAAATAAAATATGAGTGAAGATTTGCAACTTCATAATTGAAAATATGTATTATTCAGCTGTAGCCAATGATATGCACTTACTCTACTTTCAACAAGTCTACTGATCAATGTCAAGAAGACTGATTGTCGACGTAAATGAAAGTTTGGGTGTACTTTCAATCTGATATTGGGACATCTCTATGAAACCAATAATGTGCCACTTTCTAATTTTAGTTTTTTCAATCTTTCAAAGATTATTTGTTTAAATATTTGTTGCAATTCATGGTAGCCACTATGCGTGAATTTTTTTTTTTTTTTTTTTTTTTTTTTTTTTTTTTTTTTTTTTTTTTTTTTTTTTTTTTTTTTTTTTTGTAATGATAGGAAACTATACCAAGAGACCACCGGTAGCATCAGGATACAATTTCATCTACATTGTAATTTTTTTTAATTGCTTTGATGACAATACCTGTTCAAGAATCTATCTCTTTCGTAAGGAAAATTCAACTCATGAAGGGACATTTTTTTCTCTCTCCATAAGTTTTCTTTCAGGAGTATGAAAGGATCAAATACGTTTTTATCTCGAATGTTTTAACAAGTGATATTTATGTTAAATTGACGAATCCTCTTTTTCAAATGACAATTCTCCGAATCAAGAAGTTGTGAGATTTGTTGAGACCGTACGCTGCTCCTCCCTCCACATTCTGCAAAGTTGTGCTTTAGCTCACTGCATTTTGACTGGATTTAAATATTTTGTAAAAATATTTCAAAATAGTGGCGATACCTAATTAATTATCAAAAGTTGAGCTTGGATGCAAAATTATGTGTCCATTTTTCTATAGTTGGCCTTACAACTTTTTATTTTGTATACCTAGATTAAGACCTTTTTCAGTTGATGCTTATAAACGTAACATGCAGTGAATGTACTTAACAAATTGTTTGATGTATGTAACGCTAGTTTTTATGCCCTCCTCGTGGCAGTAAGCAATGCACGGTATTATGATAGTGAAGCAGCCCACTGAGAAAAATTTTTTATTGGCAGTGATCAGTTGTTGAGAGTGACTATGAAGTTTTTAATCCGTTGTTTACACGACATCAAAGTATGTAAAAGTAATGGTGGCTTGACAAATCTTTGAAATCAATTTTGAAGCATCAAACATGAAAGGCGATGAATTTTGAATATTATGGCTGTGATAATTCTGACAAATTTTCTCGCTTATTCATACTTCATGTAAAAAATCAAGAGGCAAGTAATTCAAATTTCCAGGTTTTTACCACTGCTCATTCTTGCAGAAATTAAGAGAGTTCAATTTCCTTTCTCTCCTTCCCCCTTATCTATCAACTATCTGAGCCAATTAGCTGAATGGTAACTTTTACTATGTCTTTTCACTCTTCATGAAATAAATGCACCAAATTATGCTGCGCCATACAGCTCTACTCTCAGCAAGAGGGAACTCTGTTGTTTGGTTTTTCTTTTACTTCATAACAATCTATAGCCCAACTGGTTAGTTTCCTCTATAAAATTTGTTCTCTGATTTTTTTTTCCAAATAAGTCGTCAACTCATTTAACTAGTCATGGTTTTTTTGAGTCATTTCTCTCCTATTACTATCGCAATAAAAACAATTCTCCAATTTATCTCTGCCCTAGGAAAATTACATAAATGTGAATGCATCATTATTGAACAACAGAATAATATGAAAAGCAGTATGAAAAATTCCAAATTTTATGAATAATTCAATGGTAGTACCATTGTGTCCGTAATGAGCAAAATATCAATCTAACCCGAAAGTGGTCTTAGATTTGTTGTTGAGAGATTGTTTAGACTAGCCTGACTCATACAAACATTTTGTCATGAAGCTAACAATGATTAGATAAAACTACATCAAGTCAATTGAAAAATTTGTAATAAGTATGTGTTGGTAATTTCAATTCAACAAACCCAATCTGAGCATAGGTAATGTAATGTAAAATATTAATGTATATATATGGTGGTATGTACCATTTTGTGTGGTTATAATTTCCTCAAATGAATTCGACGTCCGTTTAATGCTGAAAATTGTTGAGCATAGGTACCCACCATGACTGATTTGTGTGTTGTACCATTATTTGTTTTTATTAAATTTGTATTATTTTTCCTTCTTCAAATCTGTCAGTGAATGATGAAATTTCTCTCGAGTGTTATTGTTGACCCTGTTTTTCGTTTCCTCTGTGGCTTGAGAGGGTTTGAGTTAGAAATTTTTCATCCAAGTTCATTTTATTCTAATGCGATACTTTTTTACCACTCAGATATTAGTTGCTTATAAACCTTTGAAACAAGATACTTGTCTACTTTCTGCTTACCTCTTTTAGTTGTGACTTTTGTACCTAGATACCCTAAAATTGAGCTGGAACATTCTTGGAATCATTGTCCTCAGTTTTATACTGTAGACAACTCCCCCCCTCCCTTCTAGCTTTTAAGAAAACCAGTCATTATAATCCATAGTCTATCTTTTTTCATAATGATTTGGATTGAATGGCATTCTTCAATAAGAGTCTATTTTAAGATTATTTTCAAATAATTTTTTTACAGGAAGATATTCTTGATTCATTTTTTTTTTCATTCCCTAAAAAATTTTAGTTTTCAGACTGCCACTCAGGTTCTTTACGAAATCGACATTTTTACAGAAGAACTTTTTCGGTAGATCTTTAGGTACTTCGATTTTTTTTTCATTTCCTAGGATTTTTAATTTTCAAACAGGGCACTCTTTGAGATGAGACATTCAATTATGACACGGTTTTGAAAAAAATTCTACTGTTTAACTGTACCACAAAGCTGAAGAATATATCAGGAAATAATTTTAACACCCCATTTTGTTTAATTTTGCTCATTTTTGTTACTTGTAAATTTTGTCTTTACCTGTTTTATTTTTCCTTTTATATTTGTTTCTACATTTGCAACCAGATTAAATCTCAATAAAGATTCATAATCAAAATCAATACTCCACTTTGTCAATTTTTTTATTTTCTAACATAGCTTTGTGTGTTCAGAACATTCACATGTCTGTGGAATGTTTAATATGATTATTCCAAAATGGTCGAATAGATACCTCTATAATTTTTTATCTTGCCTAGGTAGAAATTTGAAACTTTCGGAATACTCTCAAGCCTATGGGAGCCATTGTTTAGCCTACCAATGTTAATAACATCTCTAGCAAGAGGATTATCTCTGTCTTTTTTCAAATGCTACCTTGTAACACATCTTAGAAAAGAACATGAGCAAATCCATGGCCTAATTATCTGTGCTGTGCTGTCGCTGTGAGAGGTAGGGACAGGGGTAGTTAAACTGAGTGTTAGTGACTAGAGTGACCATGTATCTCTCTGTCCCATGCACTAGCAGGACGTAACTGTCTCAGCTCAGCCATGTTAGTGGCGCCCCGAAACAATTGTCCGGTCATTAAAAAAAGGAGGAATCAGGGCCGCCGCTCATCCTATATGCTTCGCTGTTTTGGAGTATTCAATGCTGAAGGAGAAAAGACATTAAATAAAACAATGATGGAGTTCTTTAGCCATTGTGCGTAAAAAGTTCAGCCTAAAGGCTAAAAAGCTCCATCATTGTCTTACGACCCATGCGTCTACCACAATCAGTTGAACAAAATAAAAGAAAGAACTTGGCCAGCAAGTGGTGTTGTGCCAAGTTGTCATTTTGTCCAACATTGGTCCATATCATTACACACAGCATTCCTGTCATACTTTTCTTTTTCTTTGGAAAACTGGTCAATATGATTTCTTACAAACTTCCTCAATTTTTCTTCTGTAGTCAGCAGAATATTCTGTAGGTATGAATTTTAAGCCATAAAATTGGCTTTTTTCTCTTTGAAAAACCAAATAGGTAGGAGCAGAAATTTTAAAACATTGCATTGGAGGTACGTTGTTTCGTACTTTGGCCATCGAATTTTCTGCTTAAGTTCTGAAAATTTCAATCAAGTCTCTGGCTGCTTTCGGCGAATATTCTGTGGAATTTCGAGCAGTAGGTAACGCCCTCTAGATTTCCTTAGAAAAATATAACAATAGGTACTCAGAGATTTTGAAAAATTGCAATGTCAGGGCCGGATTTACCTACTTGCCGCCCGTGGGCCGCCTGTATTTTGCCGTCCCCTTCTCATTCGTTTTGAAACATCAATAAAAACCATCAAATGAATGTGCCAGCGGGGGAGGGGTGCATAAGACGCGTTTACTTGTGTTGAACACATTTTTTGGGAAAGCCCTGTCAACACTACTAGCAAAAGTTCACGGAACTTTGCGCGAAAGGTAAGTCTCGTAAACCTATCTCTGTGTGGACAAGGCCTTCCATTCATAAGAAATGAACGAAAAAATTATGAAAGAACAAAAATAAATGTGGATTATGTTAGAGCTCGATATATGATGTATTATGTTGGTAGTGTGTAGTCATATTAGGTTGGTAGTCCGCTCGGACCACCTGATTGGTTGTTGTGTACGGCTCAAGGTTAGGCTCTCACTTGCTTGTACTTCTTCGCTGAATATATCATCTTACGTCCTCGCCTGTGGCGTTCTCAGGCTGAAATGGTGTTACTTATTTTATTTCATTTCACTCGTGATTATCCCATTCATTAGATTAATGATTTTAACTTCCATCGCGCCGCGCAGACCACACCGTGTTTGGCGCAATGCGTGAAGTATTCCGACAGTCTTGTAGGCGCTATGAGTTTCACGCCGACCGCTGCTGAACGCACTGTGTTTGACGCAATGCGTGAAGTATTCACGTAGTCTTGTAGGCGCTATGCATTTCACGCTGATCGCACTGTGTTGGCCGCAGTGCGTAAAGTATTTGTGCAGTCTTGTAGGGGCTGATATGTGTTACATGCCGATCGCCGCGCCGAGGGCTTCTCCTTTCCATCTCAAGTCCTCGTCATCGTTTCTCTCTAAGTTCCAGGCCAAATTGCGTGTTTGGTTTCTCTATTAACTCGACTAATTATTAAAGATGCTGTCTCTTGTATTACTGAAAGACGACAAAAGTAGAAAATACTATACTCTCAGAAAATTAGAGATTTTGTCGCCTTTTCTCGTTTGTAATTTTTTTTTCTAAATTCGAATTTTCCATACCTACATTTAAAAAAAATTCAAAATTTGCCGCCCCCTATAGATTTGCTGCCATGGGCCGCAGCTCGTGTGGCCACCCCCTTAATCCGGCCCTGTGTAGATATGTGTCCTATGGGCGTTCCTAGGTCATTTTGCTAGGGGGGCCTGGCCCCCCTATCACAAGGAGGTCCGGACCCCCTATCACAGGGAGGTCTGGAAAGTATCGAATATCCCTCAGTCTAGAGATGGGGTCTCCCCCATGAAAGTTTTGAAATTTGGACTATATTTGGACGCATTTTGAGGCTTCCATGATGCAGATTTTCCATTAATTTCTGCGGAAAAATTATGTTTCTTTCTTTTACTTTCAGCAAAGAATACTTTCAAATTGCTGCATTGAATTGATCCGGAAAATGTTCGAATTTTCAACTGTATTTGGACGCATTTCGCGGCTTCCATGATGAAAGTTTCAGAAAATACTAAATGAATCAACACGGCCTTTTCAATTTAGACTCTTCATTTCGAGAGATACCTAATCATCCTCGACGAGGATCTTTTCCTACCATCAAGAATCTCTGGGAGGAAGGGGGGACAGATGATACTTTCTACATTCTAGGGAGGGCCAGGCCCCCCTGCCCCTCCTCCCTACGCCCATGGCGTCCTAAAACTTCTAATATCGAAATGCTCGCGTTGTGTTAGCCCCAGGCCGTGGTTCCGCGGAACCGCTTGATTCGCCTTCAATTCGGAGACACGCAACCTTGACAACGAGCGCATCTCTCTCACATTAGGATTCAGTCGTCGTCATCGCCGTCGCTGTCACAATCCCAAGCGGCAGCAGAATAAGCCGACGACGGCGTGGAGTAGTTTCTCACTTTATCATTTTGGTAGGGAGGTCATTCTTTAGATCCAGTAGAAGTACACTATCGATGTCACGGAGGCGATCGGAGCGCTGAAAGAGAAAATTGCATACGAGAGCTGCATAACGTTAATGAAGGTGAGTCGGAGGCGGACGACGCGAACCCGCGGCGTTGTCAGATTGCAAGGGCTTACAATAAGAGGTGAGGCATATCGACGATGAAACTCCCAAACCAAGTTTCTCGGCTTGCTTGAGACATTGCGGAATTCCTGTCATACTTTACGTTTTAAATGGGAAACGCCTATCCTCGCTCCTGTTCGATCGATTTTTGTGAAACTTCAAGCTTTGTACCCGGGGGTATATGGGGTANGGGGGGGGGGGGGGGGGGGGGGGGGTTTGTCTCGTGCCGGACCTTCTTATGTATAGTCACCAGAGCAGTGTATGGCGGGTTACAGGAAACTATAATCCATAATCGCAGGAGCAACTAGGGTCCCTGACCCTCGCATTCTTATCAACAACAATTATCTACCCCGCTTGTACTAAGAACGGTAATTTGTCAGATCTACTCCCCCTTTAAATCCTGTTTTTAAAGGAAGGGAGCTAAGTACTTTTTGTTGTTTTTGTGTGTGTGAGGGTGGGGGTGTGTGTGTGGGGGGTTGGGGGGGGGGGGGGTTG